TGACTATCAACTTGGTCTGGGTTTATTTTCCATTTGTGGTCCAGTATGTTATTTTAATGATTGTAGTCCTAATGAAAGGATATTTTAATTATCTGGCAGAACTAGTTGTTGATCTCCTGTTAGATTTAATTTTTAATTTTTTTTTATGAAATTCTTCACTAAGAAAGAAAGAAATATCACTGGAATTTTACTTGGGTTTGGAAGGCAATAGTGGCGAAAGTTCTTAAGTACACAGTTTTGGTGGGAGACCCAGTCCAGTTCTCATTACCAACTGCCTGTTTGACTTTAGTCAAGTCACTTAACATTTCCAACCATCAGTTTTCTCCCCTGAAAAGCAAGGATAATATAATGCCTGTTGTAAGAGCTGTAAGAATAATAATTACAATGTCTCTTTATATTAATACATTGTAAAATTGTATTTTTTATATTTTTAGCTTTCTTATTCAGTGTTATGATCTGTAATTGCCTGTCATAAGACTTATTTATATATAACTAGAAGTAGTTTTATAAATAGCATTTTGCTCCCAATATATGAAGCATATTCATATATACTTTTTTATTCGTTTGACATTCTTTTTGCATAGAATTTATTTTTCCCATATATTTTTCTAAGTGGTGAGTGGTAATATGATTTATTTTTATATTTTACCCAGTATTGTTACAGGGCAGGGAGAGGGGCAGCCCAGACCCCACAAACCTGCCTATTTTAAATGGGTTCTGCCATCCGCCGCATAACACAAAACATATGAGACTTTAATGGAAAGGAACTTTATACACCTAGGAAACAATACAGAAAGGCAAAGAAATATAGTTTCTAAATCAAGCACCCAGTTACCCGTCCCCTCGTGGGTAAAAGTCCACCCAATCAGGACTGGCCCAGAGCAAGGCCCCAAAGCCTGTCACAAGTCTAAAGCATCTTTGAGTGGGGACCCACAGAAAAGGGTCAGAGACAACCAGACAAGCCTGGAAGGAAAAGAGCAAACTCAAAATCAAGATAAAAGCTGCCATGGTCACCTCCCCTCGGTCTCTCACCCACATCTGTGTCACCCAGTCCAAGACCAAAAGGCAAGCGCAGTTTCTTCATATGTCTCTTGGCCTCATGTACCTCCTCCAGGTTTCCTTTTGGATCTCCATCCTGCTTCCTTCCTCAGTCTCCTCTGTGGCTTCTTCTCTTCCTGCTCAGCTCCACCCTCCATTTGGGTGGGGCGGGGAACCTGGTCCCCTTTCCTGGGGACCACCCTGTTACAGTATCTGTCCTTTTTGTTCATTTAAAATCAATGATATACATTTTTTCTTTAAAAAATTAATTAATATATAGGTGGAAAATAATCCATGAAAAGATGTTCCACATAAGTCATCAGGGAAATGCATATTTAAAAAACAGTGAGGGGCCTCCTCTGGTGGCGCAGCGGTTGAGTGCTAGGCTGCGAGGCTGCCCGCAGCCTCTGCGGCGCCTTTTCGTTTCCTGGCCGCCAGCGAGGGTCCCACCAAAAAAAAAAAAATAAATAAAAAATAAAAATAAAGGGGGCGGAGCAACATGGCGGCGAGGAGACGCTGCGAGTAAGATCTCCCATTAAAAAAAGTTAATAGGGAGGAAAAGCGGCAGGTCCAGTGAGAAGTGGGACACGGAAGATAAACGGGTGACGCCAGCGAACTGCCCGAAGAAGAAAGTGGCCATAAAAGAGGACTAGAAGGGAGGGAAGCGCAGAACCCTGCTCCCCTCCCCCGCCCACAGAGGCGGCACTCTCCGACCGGCAGAGAGGAGGAAACAACACACCAAAACGGCCCACAAGAACAAAGGACGCAGCAAGCGGGACTGTGAGTGGAAAGGAACTATTGCAGCCACCACACCCCGGGAACGGGAGCTGAGGCGAACCCTGCAGGATCCGCCGCGGCGGTGAGCGAACGGCTCCGGGCGCCATTAGAGAAGAACAAAGACCCCGGGAGACGCGCACACAGCCCGGGCTGCCGGTAAGCTGGCGCGGGAAAGCGGCGCGCTAGGGGAGCTTGAAAAGCAAGTGCAGACCGGGATCGCAGCTGCCCAGGTCCCCGCGCCTGCGACCTAGGCTTGCGGGGAGACGCACGGAGGTCCTCACTGAGGTGAAGGTCCCTCCCTGAGTGAGCAGGAACCAGGCGCCCAGGCACGGGAGCTGTGCAAAAGGCGCCATTCCCGCGCCACTGAACTGGGCTACAGCCGCGAGTCCTGGAACTGAGGGCTTCAAACTGAGACCCGGGGCACGAAAATTCGGGGCGTGGGTTCTCCACGACGGTGGGGCACAAGGCAGACACAGCACCCAAAGCTGTTGAGGTGTACCCTACCATTCCCGCTCTGTTCTCTGTCCCACGGGGTGGGGGGAGGCGAAAACAGCCCCCCAAGGACAATAGGAGAGATCTCTGGCGCCACCTAGCGACCAGGAAAAAAAATCACTAACACCCTATAAAACAGGACATTTCTTAAGACTGCTTGAAAAGGGGCAGAAGGTTTCTGGCGGACCAGTGGCCAGCCGGGAAGTTATTCCACGCCAGGCCCCTTCCGACCAGCAGTCTGAGCCCACAGAGGGAGCAGGCACCCACGTCCGGGGCAGACCGGGTGCGCAGAAGAGTGTGCCTGAAACCGGAGGCGCAGGGACTGCATCCCGCTTCGCCATTTGAGAACAGGGACATTTCTTCAGTAAAAACTGCCTAAAACCAGCAGAAAGCTCCCCCAGAAGACAGAGATGGCTCCTGGAAGAGCCAGAGGGGAGTGGAGAAGTTCACCCAAGATGTCAGTCAGTCCGAGCAACACAGTGTCCCAACGCATACGACAAATTAGAAAAAGACAGTAGGGAGTAGAAGAACCACACGCAACCTAAAAACTCCTCAGGAAAGAAGCACACCACAAAAAAAAACACTCCCCAGATTGCAACGACAGCAACTTGGAAGAACTTCTGAGCCTTCCAGAAAGAGAATTTAAAATTGCCATGATTAAAAAAGTGATAGATCAGAAGAAGGAAATTGAGTCCCTAAAGAGGGAAGTAAGAGAAATGCGGGAGATCAAAGAATTAATGGAGGAACTAAAGAACTCTGGAAAAGCAATGAAAGCAGAATAGATGAAATGGAAGAACGAATAAGTAATCTTGAAGACACAGAAATAAAAAGAACCAAAACAGAAAAGGAAAGAGAAGTACGAAGGAAAAGAATGAAGAAAGACTTCGGGAACTATCTGACTCCATGAGGAAAGGAAATATAAGAGTTATAGGAATTCCAGAAGGAGAGGAGAGAGATGTAGGAACAGAGAAAATATTCATGGATATAATTGAAGAGAACTTCCAAATGAGAAGAAGGAGCTGAAAATTGATATACAAGAAGCAAGAAGAACACCAAACTT